AATTAACCCATATGGTCTAATCATATCTACTAAATTTAGGTTAATTGAAACGATTTTGAATTATAGTTTTTTTTTGTTTTTGGTTATTCAAATCCATTTCCCTTATATAATAAACCTAATGGTTCTTCTACAATAATATAATCCGATTAGTTCCTCAGCAGCTTCAATTTCATTTTCTTATCTAAGACAAGCCATTTTCGACTTTTCGTCACTTGTTGAAGCGAAGCTGCGTATCAAGCCAGCTATTGCGTTCACATGTCATGGCTTCTTCTCTATCTTCGTTTCCTTCTTTGAATCCTTCACCTCTCGCTCCAAGATTCTTACAAACCCTAACCCAATTCCCCAATGCTCCGTTTCTATTCCCTTGTTCTGTTTTAAGGTTAAAGCACCAATCTTTGCTTAATTCGAGAACACGAACTGTCCCTCTTCAATCCCAACGAGCTCGGTCCAAAACCCTTGTTTTGTCTGCTCAGTCCAATTTCTTCAAAGGTTTGTACTTTTTCAGTTTCAATGGTTCTTTATTGTTTATGATAATGAAATTGAGGAAATGGGTCACTTGAGTGATCTCTAAAGAATGAAGTTATCTTCTTCGTATGATGTTTAATTTGGATTTGAGGATTGATGAAAAGGGTTTGTTCATTGTTGTGTGGAACGAGCTTTACCGCTAATTTTGATCAATTTCTTGATGGAGAAATTGTTGGATTGTGTGTGTATGCTAATGTTTATAGCATAAGAGTGTGTGTATGCTAATGGTTAGGATTCTTGTGTCGAATTCTTGAATAGTTCTTAAAACCGCGTGGAATATCGGGAAAGATGGAATCGAAGCTGGAACCAACCTTGTGCCTGTGAGCTTTCTCAGTCTTTTTCTTGACTGATTCATACTCATTAATGGTTTTAGTCACATTTAGTTATGTTGATTTTCTGTTTGTGCGTTAAGGTTTCTGTGCCTAGGCCAGTTGCTAGAATCTCGGTGACAATTGCAGCATTGGCGGTTTCGTTGTTTGTTCTCAAGTCGTTTCTATCAACTGCTTTCTTTGTATTGGTAAGTAATCCCTTTGTTTTTCCTGCGTTGAGAAGGTAGTTTTCTAGTGTGACTAAACAAAGATTTGCATATTTGTTTTCATGAGTGTTGCAGGGTACAATGGGATTTGCATATTTCTTATTCATAGCCTTAAACAAAGATGAAGCTCCTAAACAAAGAGGAGAAGGTAATAATAGTTCTGGTTCCAAGCCAATGGATGATCCACTTGAAGAAGCAAAGAAAATCATGGACAAGTACAAGTAAGCTTGAGATATTTTTCTCATATGAGAGAGAGTTCTCAAATGTATACAGATACAAATACTTCGATTTAAGATCCGGTTAAATGAGGTGATTGGTTAAGCAACAGTTAAGGAATGGTTACATGTTAAACGTAAACGCTACCATCTTTGTTTTGGTTAACGAAGAACCGGGTTATATTAGCGAAAAGGTTGCAGGAATAGCAATCATTGAAAATTTTGCTGCAACCTGCAAGTTCCTCTCTTAGGATTTTTATTTTTATTTTATCACGAGACTGATTTGATGGGGTCTTAGAGACAGAGCGTGGGAGTGAAACAGTTTCAGGTGTGAATAAAGACTGAATCATTCTTTAGATTCTCATGTGCCTTCCTTCTTCTGCTTCTTTGATATGCATCAAGTCAATTGTATAGATTTTTCATARAATTTTTCTTACAACAACCAATCTTGGATTATCTTTATCCCCATTCCTCTCATTTGCTTCAAGTATATTTAGTGAAGTTCTCTAAGATAGATTACATATTATGCAAGACTAAAAGAAAGTTCTCAATTTGAATTATTATGTTTCAAGTGCCCAAATAGCAGAAACTTTCTTTTGCACCTTTACGGCTTTACCAAAAGCCCCCAAAAAAAAAAAAAGGTACAGATTGTCTCAGTTTTGAAATGAGCATATTTACAAAACAAAAGCTCAAAGAAGGCACATTTACCCATCATCACACAACATGTTGATTTGCGCAGAAACATCGTTGCTCTCACTTAAATATTCAAAACCTTTCCTCTTTTTTCCAAACTTTGGTTTTGCCCTTTTGCTCTTTGTCCCCACTTCCCATGGTGGGTCCTGATTTGTCTTCTAGAAACAAGAGCTCTCTAAGATTCTACAACTCACCGTCGATTCATACCATTACATGACTATACTACTCATTAACGGTCTAGATTGAAGGAGCATGGAAGATCCCCTGAACCAGCATTTAGTAAATACATCATCTTGCAAAGTACAAGAAGCTAACCTTATTTTATTTTAGTTGAAAATCTCTTTATTCCAGATTTCGAGCGTGCTGATAGCTTAATCAATGAGGAGAACCCAAACAAAAACTTTACAAAATTAAGATCATTCGTTCTAAACAGTTTCAGCCGTTGGATTGGCTTACTTTTTAGCTACATCCAACGGTGAAAAATAGAGATATGTAGGAGATTACTCATAGTTGTTGAAACGTTTTACCAAATTGGTTTCAAATGGGGTCAACACTCACTATCTATCAGCTACAAAGAACCGAGCTTTGGTCTCTCTATAGCGAAAACCCCAAAGTCACTGCATTTC